CTCGGTATATACACACTGAGAGGTACATTTGTCTCGGTATATACACACTGAGAGGTGTATTTGTCTTAGTATATACACTGAGAGGTATATTTCTCTCGGTATATACACACTGAGAGGTGTATTTGTCTTAGTATATACACTGAGAGGTATATTTCTCTCGGTATATACACACTGAGAGGTGTATTTGTCTTAGTATATACACTGAGAGGTATATTTGTCTCGGTATATACACACTGAGAAGTATATTTGTCTCGGTGTATACACACTGAGAGGTGTATTTGTCTCAGTATATACACACTGAGAGGTATATTTGTCTCAGTATATATACTGCGAGTTTAATTCGTATTTTACGGATTAAAATAACATAGTTTGGTGGCCTTAAAGACCATGGTGTAGTCGATAAGCTTGAAACCCCATTAGCCAACGAGCGATGTTATAATTCGATAATGATATATTACTCACATACAAGACGTTTAACACGTTAAAACTAAATAATCATCGATCAACATTTAAAAAAGGTTTTAACTTAGTTTAATACGTAAATTAACATATATACGTAAAATTCTGCAGAACAAATCTTTCCCACTAATCAGAATTTATTCTGTATGTCTATATAAAGACAATTCTTTCCTATAAAGGAAAGAAATCTCCAAGAGTTTGATTTAGAGGCTTAATTCTTATTTCTAGTTTATTTTAAACATCTGTTTCTTTTTATGTTGTCTCCTCTTTCTTGTCTCTTCTTTTCCTTTTCTTGTCTCTTCTTTCCCTTTTCTCGTCTCTTCTTTCCCTTGTCTTGTCTCTTCTTTTCCTTTTCTTTCTATCTCTTTCCATTTTCTTTATATCTCTTCTTTTATCTTTCTGTTCTTTCTTGTTTTCTTTCTTTAGTTTTCTTTGCTCTTTCTTCTTTTCCCTCCTTTCCTTTTTTCTCTTCTTTTTCTTTTTCACTTCCTTTCCTTTCTTAAATATTTTTTCAGCGCTGTTTTCTGCTCTTTTTGTCTCCCTTCTTCTTATAATTTTTCCTCTTTCGTCCTTTATCAGTGTCTTTCTTTCTCCTTGTTCTTGTCTTTTAGCTATCTTATTTTCCTTTTCTTTCCTGATTACATTATGCGTCTTTTCTTTATTATTCCCTTTACTTTTTCTTATTTTATTTCCCAATTTATTCCTTTTATCTTTCTTGTTTCTTCTGTATCTTTTCTTGTGTGCGTTGTATATAACTTTACTCCCATTTCTCCTCTTTTTATTGCCTTTATTGTTATTCCTTTTCTCGTTATCTCTTACGTCTTTCCTTCCTTTCGCTTTTATATTCTTTATATTTTTGTTTTTTTTATTCTTTATCCTGTTTCTTCTTTTCGTCTTTATTTCTTTTCCTTTTTTGCTATTTACCTTCTTTCTATTTTTTAATTTCCTTCTTATCTTCATTGCTTTCTTCCCATTCATTTTTACTTTTATCTTATTCTTCTTTACTTTCTTCCTATTCTTCTTCACTGGCTTCTTACTCTTTTTGGCTTTCTTTCCTTTCGGTTTCCCTCTCTTTCTTTTTATCTTTAACTTCTTTAGCTTATAATTTCCCCTCTCTCTCGACCTCCTCTTCGTCCTCCACGATTTTCTTCCCCTCATCTTCCCATTCCCTTGGTTTTTCTTCTTCCTCTTGACGAGTTTCAGGTTTGTCTTCCCCTGCGTCCTAAGAGTCTTCATCTTGGCCACAGCATCCCATCTCCTTCTTGCGTTCCTCAGGAGGCGGAGGAGGTGCCGGCGCTCCTCCGGGTCGCTGAAGAAGTCATTGAGGTCGGCGTAGCGCAGCGTGACGGGGAGACGCCGCACTTCGATGTTGTGGCTGATGAGGAACCTCTGGAGTGGAGCTGACGCCATGATCCACTTCGCTACTCTGGAGTCTCCTGGTCGCTGGCTGCTTCGTCCACTTGTTCTCTCCTGTCCCTCCTTCACACCTTCTTTCTTCCTGGTACTCTTCGTGCGCTTCAGCAGCCTTTTCCTTGTGGTTTTCTTAGTCTCGTCTCTTTTGTTATTCTCATTCAACCTTTTCCTTATTTTCTTATTATCTACCCTTTGGTTTTTCTCTTCCTTGTCGCTTTCTATCTTTTTTCTTCCATTATCTTTTCCGCCTTCGCTTTCCTTCCGGGTAGTCGTGATTCTCTTGTTGTTCTTTTCGATTCTCTTCACTGTTTCTTTTCTATTTTCATCTCTTTTCTTATTCTCTTCATTCTTGTTTACCGTCTTTCTTCCTCCATCCTCTTTATTTTCAGGATGTTTTTCTCCTCTTCTTACCTTCATTCTTTTCTTCTCATCATTCTTCTTCTGAGTTGTCATATTTATATTATTGTTCTCCTCATTTCTTTTTATTGTCTCCTTAATTTCACCTGTTCTCTTTATCTCTTCCTTCTTGTTTTCTTTATTTCTTTCTTCATCCTTTTTCTTTTCTTGTTTCTTTCCCCTATCTTTATCCATTTCACCCATCTTTCCAACTTTACTCTCATCATTTCTCCTCTTTATATTCGTCTTATTTCCTTTTTTATTCTCTACTTTTACAATCTTTTCGACCATCTTTACTAAACGTGTTCCTTCCCATTTATTTGTAGTTTTTGCATCCTTCTTTCCATTATGATTAATATCCCTCTTCTTCCTCCTCTCTCCCTTTGTATTTTTTATTGTTTCTTGTTTTTGTCTTTTATTCTCTGTTTTTTCTGCTTCTCTCCATTTGGCATTTTTAGGGTCGTGTATGAGCTTGTTTCTGTCTTTGTAAATGCCTCTAATTCTCTTTTTTATGGATGAAAATGGCCGAAGAGATCGTGTTTCTGATTCTTCATAGTCGTCATTATCTTCGTAATATTCATATTCATCATATTCGTCTTCTTCACCTTCGCCATTGTCACCGTTCTCTTCAGTTTCGCCTTCTCCTCCTTCATTGTTGCCTTTGTTATCATCATCATCCCCTTTATCTTCATTGTCATCGTTACTACTACGACTATCGCTGTCATTATTCCCCTCTTTACCATTACTGCTCCCTTTGCCATCGCTCGTTTTATTTCCCTCGTTTGCATCTAACTCATCGTCATAATAGTAATAATAATACTCGTCACCGGAATCACCATCCTTAGAACCATCATCATAAAAATCATAATAGTAATCATTATTAGCCTCATTATCCTCGTTTTTATCCACACTTGAGTCACCTCCTGACTCAGTCTCGTCTACTTCGATGGCATTGTCCACGAAGTCGACGTTCTCCAGGGGGCTGGTTGCTCCTTCCTCAACGTAATAATAATAATACTCATCCTCTTTGCCTCCTTCAGGCCCTGCGGTGTTTATCACTCCTGACCCTCCAGATGTAACTTTTGAACCTCCAGCAACCCCTCCAGAGCTTCCAGGGATTACTTCATTACTTCCAGGGATCACTCCAGCACTTCCAGGGATCACTTCAGCACTTCCAGGGATCACTCCAGAGCCTTCAGATGTCACTCCAGGTAATCTGGAAAGCGTCGAGGAGCTGGAACCCCCAACATCCTCACTAGGTTTGAAAATCACGTTGCCTCTTCCAGAGGGACACACTTCGAAGTAGAGGTAGAATTCTCCGTCCTGGATGAAGCAGCCGGTAGCAGAAAGGGCTGGAAGGTCCTCTACTGGAATAAGAGCGTTCCAGTCCACGAGACTGTTAGAGAGTGATGGGGCAAGTTCCAGGGTGAAAACCCCACCGCCTAGTTCTGGGTTACAGTCTCCTTGTTGCACTGTTGACAGTTCTCCCAACTCAACACCGAGACCCTGCAAGGTAGTAATAATCCTTTAGGACATTTTCCAATAGGAATGGATTCCATAAAAACTGATAATTTACATTTTCCCGAATGCAATAAAATACGCAAAGATGTCATGTGGAATCAAATCTGTTCAGACAGTTGCTTTCCCACACCTGTACAACTGGACTACGATGGTGTGCAGCTGTACTGATGTAACCTGACTGAGAAGAGTCTGATCCAATGACCACCTGACACTTTCTATACACTGAAATAGTTAATAATATCCACCAGGTCTTTTGAAAATCTTTTTCGAACTTATTCTTTAGTTTATGCTTTGATTAATTCATGTTAAGCGCTAAACTCATGTGGGTCATTCAGCGCAAGAAGTCTGCTGAGCGCCAGACAGACGCGCGTCCTATTTGTACTCACCTATATGTCTTTCGAACTTATGAACGTCATTAAAGAGCGATAAGACGTCCAAGACAACACTGCAGGTGTTAGCAGGACACAGGACGTCCAAGACAACACTGCAGGTGTTAGCAGGACACAGGACGTCCAAGACAACACTGCAGGTGTTAGCAGGACACAGGACGTCCAAGACATCACTGCAGGTGTTAGCAGGACACAGGACGTCCAGGACAACACTGCAGGTGTTAGCAGGACACAAGACTCCAAGACAACACTGCAGGTGTTAGCAGGACACAGGACATCCAAGACAACACTGCAGGTGTTAGCAGGACACAGGACGTCCAAGACAACACTGCAGGTGTTAGCAGGACACAAGACGTCCAAGACAACACTGCAGGTGTTAACAGGACACAAGACGTCCAAGACGACACTGCAGGTGTTAACAGGACACAAGACGTCCAAGACAACACTGCAGGTGTTAGCAGGACACAAGACGTCCAAGACAACACTGCAGGTGTTAACAGGACAGAAGACGTCCAAGACAACACTGCAGATATTAACAGGACACAAGACGTCCAAGACAACACTGCAGGTGTTAGCAGGACACAAGACGTCCAAGACAACACTGCAGGTGTTAGCAGGAGACAAGACGTCCAAGACAACACTGCAGGTGTTAGCAGGACACAAGACGTCCAGGACAACACTGCAGGTGTTAGCAGGACACAAGACGTCCAAGACAACGCTGCAGGTGTTAGCAGGACACAAGACGCCCAAGACAACGCTGCAGGTGTTAGCAGGACACAAGACGTCCAAGACAACACTGCAGGTGTTAGCAGGACACAAGACGTCCAAGATAATACTGCAGGTGTTAGCAGGACACAAGACGTCCAAGACAACACTGCAGGTGTTAGCAGGACACAGGACGTCCAAGACAACACTGCAGGTGTTAGCAGGACACAGGACGTCCAAGACAGCACTGCAGGTGTTAGCAGGACACAAGACGTCCAAGACAACACTGCAGGTGTTAGCAGGACACAAGACGTCCAAGACAACGCTGCAGGTGTTAGCAGGACACAAGACGTCCAAGACAACGCTGCAGGTGTTAGCAGGACACAAGACGTCCAAGACAACGCTGCAGGTGTTAGCAGGACACAAGACGTCCAAGACAACGCTGCAGGTGTTAGCAGGACACAAGACGTCCAAGACAACACTGCAGGTGTTAGCAGGACACAAGACGTCCAAGACAACACTGCAGGTGTTAGCAGGACACAAGACGTCCAAGACAACACTGCAGGTGTTAGCAGGACACAAGACGTCCAAGACAACACTGCAGGTGTTAGCAGGACACAAGACGTCCAAGACAACACTGCAGGTGTTAGCAGGACACAAGACGTCCAAGACAACACTGCAGGTGTTAGCAGGACACAAGACGTCCAGGACAACACTGCAGGTGTTAGCAGGAGACAAGACGTCCAAGACAATACTGCAGGTGTTAGCAGGACACAAGACGCCCAAGACAACACTGCAGGTGTTAGCAGGACACAAGACGTCCAAGACAACACTGCAGGTGTTAGCAGGACACAAGACGTCCAAGACAACACTGCAGGTGTTAGCAGGACACAAGACGTCCAAGACAACACTGCAGGTGTTAGCAGGACACAAGACGTCCAAGACAACACTGCAGGTGTTAGCAGGACACAAGACGTCCAAGACAACACTGCAGGTGTTAGCAGGACACAAGACGTCCAAGACAACACTGCAGGTGTTAGCAGGACACAAGACGTCCAGGACAACACTGCAGGTGTTAGCAGGAGACAAGACGTCCAAGGAGAGAAAAAACTGAGATATAATTTAATAGATCAAAGATTTTTCCAGTACTACGGAAATTCTTTTTTATTAATTATTATGAAAATTATACACTCGGGACTACGTGAAAAATTTATTACAATCGTGAAATGTTATAATAATAATAATAATAATAATAATAATAATAATAATAATAATAATAATAATAATAATAATAATAATAATAATAATAATAATAATAAAAGTCTGCATGCTGTCCTTATTGACTGATTTAATATTATTTAATATATTTAATATATTTAATAATATACAAGTAAAGACTAACTGATTAGATAATGATATGATATTCCGAGAACGAAGGCCTATTGATTAAGTAATGATTAGATCATTCGGAAATGAAGACTTACTGAATAGGTAATAATTTGATGATTCGTGAGTAAGACCCACTGACTAGGCAATGATCTGATAATCTGGGATTGAAAATCATCAGTGGGTCAGTGACTTGCCTGCATCTACATAAACCGGAGTTTCTGCGTCATTATAGTATTTCCCATTTTTCTCTCTTACCCTCTAGACTTAACCTTGAGCAGTGCCACTACCCGTCTTAACCTTGAGCAGTGCCACTACCCGTCTTAACGTTGAGCAGTGCCACTACCCGTCTTAACGTTGAGCAGTGCCACTACCCGTCTTAACGTTGAGCAGTGCCACTACCCGTCTTAACGTTGAGCAGTGCCACTACCCGTCGTCTGCTCTCTCCTCCAGCATGGCTCACCTGTAGTGTGTTTCTGATGTGGATGAGGTTCTCCAGAGGCAGTGTGCGGGTGCGGGAGAGGATGAGACCTGCCTCCAGGTGACCAAACATTGTCGGTGTGCAACTCCACAACACAGCCCAACTGCTGTAGTCTGTTCCCACTACTTCAAGGGCCACGTCGTTGTATATTTCTGAAAGCAAAGTTCATGGGTGTTGTTTGAGTTAGATTACCAACCGACATGCCTATTCATCCACTAGTCAAAAGATTACTGACGCACACAATAGGACTGAAAACTGGGTCAAAGCATTTTGAACAAAAAGGGACAATACCGTGACTGGAACAATACGCAAATAAGCCACATATAGGTTATATGAAAAGGTCTCTGTTCAGGCTCATCTAAAGCTCTATACCTCCAAGCACGTTCAAATGACTATCTTAAAAATTAAAGCTTCGACTCAGACCTCGGTTCCTCGAGATAAAACTAGACACATAAACAGATCACTGCAGCGCTTCTATGTTATTTTGTCTCCCTTTCCCTTTGGCTATATCCCTTGTCCTAGACACTCACGTGAAGGCAGCCTCATGACCATGGAACCCGGGTTCTCCGGGTTGGGGAAGATCTGAGCCTCGTAGTGCAAGTTATGTACAACACCCGCAGCTCTGAGGGAGAAGAGTTGCTTATCGACGGCCACGGACAAGCTTCCTCCACTCCCCAAGTCCTTGATGGTGAAAGAGAAGCATCTAGATGCCACGTTACTGCCTTGAATCAAGTACCACGTCCCAGAGAACTGTGCGGAAGGCAGGGGAAAACATTATAACAGAAAAATGTGAAGACTGGGTAAGCATTATCCCAATGAAGTGTGAGGAAGAAGGGGCAAGTAATGTAGCAAAAAATACAGGTTGGTCGCTTAATGGAGCTTAAAGACTATGGACTACATGATAAAGTTACATCTTGCCTGTTCACCACCAGAGAAGAATATTTTAATTCCTAAAATAGGGTCCAACCTCAACTGACAGCATTTATACACTGGGAATTATACACTTCTCGGTGTATATGTCATACAATAACTGAAGGGAAGGCAGAGAAAAAGTCTTATATATAACTCTTTTCAACAGTATCGTAACTGCCTTCACATCACAATATATGTCGTTAAATAATACCCATGTTTTTTTATTAATGAAATAAATGGGTTAATTTAAATGCATTGAAAATTTAAAACTGTAAGATTAATCCAGAGATAATTGGTTTCTTAAGCAATTTCTTAAAAAAATGGGGCATCAATGTACTAATTGATGTTAGTGAATGTTAGATGAAATTAGTGAGCAAAGAAGTAAGCTGAACTTTGCTTGTTGTGTTTCAAGAAGACAGAGAGTAAGAATGAGAGGCAGCAAGAGAGGAGAGAATAAATAGGACCGAATGAGGAAGCGCTGTATCTAATTACCCTAGAGGTAATCAAGTTTGTTCCGAGAAGGATAAGAGAGGAGATATAAAGAAGAGAGAATAAAAGTAAGATAAAGATGAGAAAGCAAAGAAGAAAAGGGAAGAGAAAGTATAGAGAAGACAAGTATAAAACAGAGAAGGGTGGGAGAGCAGGGAACAGATAAGAGAGTAAACTTGAAAAGGAAATAGGGAAGAGAACGAACAGGACCAAAAGGGACGTTAAATGAGAAAATGAAGCATGTAAATAGGATCAGTGTGAGCGTAAGAGAAGCAAGAGAGAAGTGAAGGGCGACGGAGTGAGAGATGACAGGGTCGAGTGAGAGATGACAGGGTCGAGTGAGAGATGACAGGGTCGAGTGAGAGATGACAGGGTCGAGTGAGAGATGAAAGGTCGAGTGAGAGATGGACAGGTGAGTGAGAGAGACAGGGTCGAGTGGGAGAGGAAGGGGTCGAGTGAGAGATGACAGGTCGAGTGAGAGATGACAGGGTCGAGTGAGAGATGACATGGGTCAGTGAGAGAGACAGGTCGAGTGAGAGATGACAGGTCCAGTGAGAGATGACAGGGTCGAGTGAGAGACGACAGGGTCGAGTGAGAGATGACAGGGTCGAGTAGAGATGGACAGACGAGAGATGAAGGTCGAGTGAGAGATGACAGGGTCAGTGAGAGATGACAAGGTCGAGTGAGAGATGACAGGGTCGAGTGAGAGATGACAGGTCGAGTGAGAGACGACAGAGGTCGAGTGAGAGATGACATGGTCGAGTGGGAGAGGAGGATGACAGGGTCGATGAGTGAAGATGGAGACAGGGTCGAGTGAGAGATGACAGGGTCGAGTGAGAGATGACAGGGTCGAGTGAGAGATGACAGGGTCGAGTGAGAGATGACAGGGTCGAGTGAGAGACGACAGGGTCGAGTGAGAGATGACAGGGTCGAGTGAGAGATGACAGGGTCGAGTGAGAGATGACAGGGTCGAGTGAGAGATGACAGGGTCGAGTGAGAGATACAGGGTCGATGAGAGATGACAGGTAGTGAGAGATGACAGGGTCGAGTGAGAGATGACAGGGTCGAGTGAGAGATGACAGGGTCGAGTGAGAGAGACAGGTCGAGTGAGAGACGACATGGTCGAGTGAGAGATGACAGGGTCGAGTGAGAGATGACAGGGTCGAGTGAGAGACGACAGGTCGAGTGAGAGATGACAGGGTCGAGTGAGAGATGACAGGGTCGAGTGAGATGAGAGATGAACGAGGTCGAGTGAGAGATGACAGGGTCGAGTGAGAGATGACAGGGTCGAGTGAGAGATGACAGGGTCGAGTGAGAGATGACAGGGTCGAGTGAGAGATGACAGGGTCAGTGAGAGATGACAGGGTCGAGTGAGAGATGACAGGGTCGAGTGAGAGATGACAGGTCAGTGGAGATGACAGTCGAGTAGAGATGACAGGGTCGAGTGAGAGATGACAGGGTCGAGTGAGAGATGACAGGTCAGTGAGAGACAGGGTCGAGTGAGAGATGACAGGGTCGAGTGAGAGATGACATGGTCCAGTGAGAGACGACAGGGTCGAGTGAGAGACGACATGGTCGAGTGAGAGATGACAGGGTCAAGTGAGAGATGACAGGGTCGAGTGAGAGATGACAGGGTCGAGTGAGAGATGACAGGATCGAGTGAGAGATGACAGGGTCGAGTGAGAGATGACAGGGTCGAGTGAGAGATGACAGGTCGAGTGAGAGAATGACAGGGTCGAGTGAGAGATGACAGGGTCGAGTGAGAGATGACAGGGTCGAGTGACAGATGACAGGGTCAACTGAGAGATGACAGGGTCGAGTGAGAGATGACAGGGTCGAGTGGGAGATGACATGGTCGAGTGAGAGATGACAGGGTCGAGTGAGAGATGACAGGGTCGAGTGAGAGATGACAGGGTCGAGTGAGAGATGACAGGGTCGAGTGAGAGATGACAGGGTCGAGTGAGGGATGACAGGGTCGAGTGAGAGATGACAGGGTCGAGTGAGAGATGACAGGGTCGAGTGAGGGATGACAGGGTCGAGTGAGAGATGACAGGGTCGAGTGAGAGATGACATGGTCCAGTGAGAGACGGCAGGGTCGAGTGAGAGATGACATGGTCGAATGAGAGATGACAGGGTCGAGTGAGAGATGACAGGGTCGAGTGAGAGATGACAGGGTCGAGTGAGAGATGACAGGGTCGAGTGAGAGATGACAAGGTCGAGTGAGAGATGACAGGGTCGAGTGAGAGATGACATGGTCCAGTGAGAGACGACAGGGTCGAGTGAGAGATGACAGGGTCGAGTGAGAGATGACAGGGTCGAGTGAGAGATGACAGGGTCGAGTGAGAGATGACAGGGTCGAGTGAGAGATGACAGGGTCGAGTGAGAGATGACATGGTCCAGTGAGAGACGCAGGGTCGAGTGAGAGATGACAGGGTCGAGTGAGAGATGACAGGGTCGAGTGATAGATGACAGGGTCGAGTGAGAGATGACAGGGTCGAGTGAGAGATGACAGGGTCGAGTGAGAGATGACAGGGTCGAGTGAGAGATGACAGGGTCGAGTGATAGATGACATGGTCCAGTGAGAGACGGCAGGGTCGAGTGAGAGATGACAGGGTCGAGTGAGAGATGACAGGGTCGAGTGAGAGATGACAGGGTCGAGTGAGATATGACAGGGTCGAGTGAGAGATGACAGGGTCGAGTGAGAGATGACAGGGTGGAGTGAGAGATGACAGGGTCGAGTGAGAGATGACAGGGTCGAGTGAGAGATGACAGGGTCGAGTGAGAGATGACAGGGTCGAGTGAGAGATGACAGGGTCGAGTGAGAGATGACATGGTCCAGTGAGAGACGACAGGGTCGAGTGAGAGATGACATGGTCGAGTGAGAGATGACAGGGTCGAGTGAGAGATGACATGGTCGAGTGAGAGATGACAGGGTCGAGTGAGAGATGACATGGTCGAGTGAGAGATGACAGGGTCGAGTGAGAGATGACAGGGTCGAGTGAGAGATGACAGGGTCGAGTGAGAGATGACATGGTCGAGTGAGAGATGCTAGGGTCGAGTGAGAGATGACAGGGTCGAGTGAGAGATGACAGGGTTGAGTGATAGATGACAGGGTCGAGTGAGAGACGACAGGGTCGAGTGAGAGATGACATGGTCCAGTGAGAGACGACAGGGTCGAGTGAGAGATGACATGGTCGAGTGAGAGATGACAGGGTCGAGTGAGAGATGACATGGTCGAGTGAGAGATGACAGGGTCGAGTGAGAGATGACATGGTCGAGTGAGAGATGACAGGGTCGAGTGAGAGATGACAGGGTCGAGTGAGAGATGACAGGGTCGAGTGAGAGATGACATGGTCGAGTGAGAGATGCTAGGGTCGAGTGAGAGATGACAGGGTCGAGTGAGAGATGACAGGGTTGAGTGATAGATGACAGGGTCGAGTGAGAGACGACAGGGTCGAGTGAGAGATGACATGGTCGAGTGAGAGATGACAGGGTCGAGTGAGAGATGACAGGGTCGAGTGAGAGATGACAGGGTCGAGTGAGAGATGACAGGGTCGAGTGAGAGATGACATGGTCCAGTGAGAGACGACAGGGTCGAGTGAGAGATGACATGGTCGAGTGAGAGACGACAGGGTCGAGTGAGAGATGACAGGGTCGAGTGAGAGATGACAGGGTCGAGTGAGTGATGACAGGATCGACTGAGAGATGACAGGGTCGAGTGAGAGATGACAGGGTCGAGTGAGAGATGACAGGGTCGAGTGAGAGATGACAGAGCCGAGTGAGAGATGACAGGGTCGAGTGAGAGATGACAGGGTCGAGTGAGAGATGACAGGGTCGAGTGAGAGATGACAGGGTCGAGTGAGAGATGACATGGTCGAGTGACAGATGACAGGGTCGAGTGACAGATGACAGGGTCGAGTGAGAGATGACAGGGTCGAGTGAGAGATGACAGGGTCGAGTGAGAGATGACAGGGTCGAGTGAGAGATGACAGGGTCGAGTGAGAGATGACATGGTCAAGTGAGAGATGACAGGGTCGAGTGAGAGATGACAGGGTCGAGTGAGAGATAACAGGGTCGAGTGAGAGATGACAGGGTCGAGTGAGAGATGACAGGGTCGAGTGAGAGATGACAGGGTCGAGTGAGAGAGTGACAGGGTCGAGTGAGAGATGACAGGGTTGAGTGATAGATGACAGGGTCGAGTGAGAGATGACAGGGTCGAGTGAGAGATGACAGAGTCGAGTGAGAGATGACAGGGTCGAGTGAGAGATGACAGGGTCGAGTGAGAGATGACAGGGTCGAGTGAGAGATGACAGGGTCGAGTGAGAGATGACATGGTCGAGTGAGAGATG